TTTGAGCTTGCTGGCCTTGTTTAGATAACACGTTCTTTCCCAGAAACTGTAACTAGGATCTGCGCAGCATAATTGCAGTATAAACCACACGTGGTCTCTGTGGGTGTTGAACAAACACAAAATGCGCCTGAACAAACGTCTGCAATAAGGATTAGCTAACCTCACTAGTAGACGGGTAGGCAGGCATTAACGATTAGCTTATACATCTAATAACTTGCCAACTTTTGCTATTCCATATTGAAAGATAAGGTTCTTTAGACACACTCTACTAAACACTAGGGCAGGCGGATTTTTTCCGTTTTTGAGAAAACCAACAGTGCAAAAGCTACGTTTTGATGTGATAAGTAGTAGTGATTTTCTAAGGCCGACAGTATGCGGCACCCAGTGAGGATCGAACTCACTACTCAGTTTTAATTGTTCTAATGAGACCAATATATAATATTACACCATTACACCGCCTAGAGGTGCCCAAAATATTTTCCAAGCATAGCTTAGATGTGGCACAAGGCCAAAAACATGGGGCATCCAGTGAGGATCGAACTCACTTTTCAATCGTAACTGACCTAGCAAGACAAGCTTGCTAACCATTACACCACGCCGAGGTGCCCCGATGTGATAAGTAGTAACACCAACGATTAGATTCTTAGCTTTTACCGATTTTTGAGAATTTAGTTTTAAAATCGTTTGGAAAATGTACAGAAATACATTTCCGTAGGTTTTTGCTTACAAACTGACTTTAAAATTTGACTATTTTACGAATGAATCCAAATAAAGTTGGCATCTTTTGTATTAGGTATATTGAATATAAAATATATTCAAACCAGGAATGTAATTATGAATCATCACAAGCAAAATATGCAATTTTTTTACTACCTTCAATAAATAAAAACTGTGTAAATAAAATTGTAAAAGATTACAAAAAAAAAAAACGGCTACTCAATGAATAAAATTTGTGATATAATTTCTTAAATCATAATTAATCAAAACAAAAAAATAGATAAAAGTGTACAGAACCCCATAATACCGCTGAGCACAAATTATAAGACAAAATTACAATGTTTCGGCCAGATTCTCGGCTCATACAAGTTAATCCATCATCAGTCTGGAGCATTTAATGTTTCTGTAGCATTTTTGCACAGAAACGTTATTGCATAGTAAGCTTCCAAAGTGTCTTCACGTCCTGACTGCATCCGGCAAAGTTGTCCGCTGTGACATGTAGTGTTTAGTAGGGCAGGTCGATTTTGGATCCGTAGTATTGCACTTAATTTGAAAGTTTTTCTTAGGATATTTTCGTCTTTTTTATAATTAGAATGTATTTGATTGCTATGTAAAATATTAATATGCTTAGGTGTAGTTGAAGAAGTATTATATTCTATTTGTATTAAAATTTCTAATAAAACATCTTATTTATTCATTAAGCATCCAATTGAAAATAAGTAGACAAAACTTGTCTAAACGATAGGCGACCCTATTTTAGTGTAGGGTAAAAATGCACTAGCAGTGTTGAAGTTTAGCTGTCGGCCGCGCAAAGAAAGGAAATCCCCCGAAGAAAATCCAAGTCGCGTACTGTTCCAACCAAAAATAGGTAAAAGTGAAAGAGAGAATTTATATCCTTCCTTTTATAGTCCTGAAACAGCGCCACCTATCGGCGTCCTTGTCAGACAAGGTGGGTTAATACATACGAATGATATATTTCAGTCTGTGCAAATGAAGGGCGTGTACTTGTTTGTGCTTTGCAAAGTTATTGCACCGAAACTCTGAAATACGCCCATTGATCAAACAATTAATTTCGAAAGTGGTTCATTTTTCCTTGAAAATAAATAAATAAAATCTGTCAAACATTTTACTTCCTACTAAGATTAATTCAGTGGAAAAAATGTATACGGGAGACTTTGTAAAATAATAATTGAGTTTTCATATTGATTTTTGTGTGTATTGTTATGGCTTGAGTGGGTTTTTATTAATAAATGTGTACAATACTTTGCCAATTCCATTTTTATAATGTCAATGAAGGTTTGCATTTTTTTATTGGTAGTGTGGATTACCCCCATTTGTTTTCACCAAGATGCCGTCAGGTAGCGCTGTTAGACAGTTATAAAACGGGATAGTCTTGTTTTATTTCTCTTTTGTCTCTTTTCCTTCTGACATTTGGTTGAAACTGCACCATCCAGGACCTTATCCCGGGTATGCGGATATATTTACCCTTAGTGACTGAACTTTTACACACGATTTATAATTCCTAAATTTTTATGCCTTCTTTCTTTTACATGCATGCTATTGTATATTCTTCCCTTTATTATTTAATGCATGAAAATGTCGCCTTGTCGAAATTTATTCCGTTTAAATGCACAAATTTTGTTTGCCATTTCTTTGAGTCTAACTCGGAACAATGGCTGGATATAACTAAAACACATGATCAAACGGTCATATCACATTAAAAGACCAGTTCTTGTACGATAAACGAAGTTGAGCAACGTCGAGCCTGGTCAGTACTTGGATGAATGACCACTTGGGAATCCCAGGGGATGGAAGCGTGGATTTGTGGGTGGTGTAATTGATAACGGCTCAGAATTGGAAACTGGAGAGCCGTGTTTCAATTCCAGTGACATTCGTGAAAGAGAATGGGAAGGGTTTACTGAGGAACTGTATTGCGGCTAGTTAGAGATCATCCTCTGGAGTTCCTGTCTTTAAGAATTCTGGTAAACCTACGAGATAGATAGATAGATAGATAGATAGATAGATAGATAGATAGATAGATAGATATGAACAAACTATAAATAGATACTGTACATACATATTGCTTGGGGTGAAACTATTAATATATATCTCGTTCGCCGATTGAATACTATGGGGAAAGGGAATTTTTAAACAGTGACTCCTCTTGCTTATAACGAATCGCTCTTCAGTTATGAATTGAGCGCTCTGGCTGCTGATTTGGCGTTTATATACATCACGTATATAATACATTAAAAGATTCTTTTTCTCTGCCGTGCGCCGATATCTTAGGGATAGAGTTTCTGACTGATGCCAAATCGATCGAGTTTCGATTCCGGCTGGAAGCAATCGGATGTCTAGCTACACTGAGGAGCTGTGATACAGCTAGAAACATGCTTATATATATATATATATATATATATATATATATATTATTCAGCTAAAAAGAGAGCAGATTAAACAGTTTTGTGTCAGCCCCCCACCTTCTATGTCTTCCCAACTGAGCAATGGTGAGAGAAAAAAGATCATTCAGGCTTTCAGTAATGGTACCAACATTCATACTCTGGCTTCCATCTTCAAAGTCCATTCAAGAACCATCAAGAGAACGGTGAATAAGTTTTAAAAAGAGGAAACAGTAGAAAGAAAAACTGGATCAGGAGGTCACAACAGGAAGAGGGATCATCATTTCAACTTAGAGCTAAAGAGATCAATTAGAAAAGATCCAACTCAATCCATAAGACATTTGGCACGTGAGAGAAGAGTTTCAGCTATGACAGTCCAAAGAGCAGTGAAAAAAGACTTGAAAATGAAATCGTACGTTAAACATGTGAGGCACCTTGTTACTCCAGGATGGAAAGTTAGAAGGTTAGAGAGAGTGAAGATCATCTTGAATAAGTTGGAAAATGATCCTGGAATATATATATATATATATATATATATATATATATATATATATATATATATATATATATATATATATATATGAATATGTCATTTTAATTTCAATCGATTTCATGAGCTTTGATCTTTAGCTATGATTAATGATGAACATGCCATTTTCACAGTCTTTGGGTTTTTTCACTGGATCTAACTAAAGCCTTTATCCACTGCGCCATGTGTCCTTGAGTTCAATACCTGGTTAAGGCAGTGGAGAACTTGGAGAACTTGGGTTTAATGGATGTCAGTTATCTCCTGTTAATTTACAGGAGATAACTGACATCCATTAAATAAATATATGGAACTAGAACGGTCTTTTTAAGTGATATAAAATTAAAGGGTTTAGTTCGACATTCCAACCACCTGAAGAAGGCCGGAGCGTTCAGCGGCCGAAACGTTGTAATAAATATGGCGACAAAGATGAGGACAATAGTCCGAATAATGTAAATAGTGTGCATAATACCTCATCTCAGAAATATAGGCAGATAATAATTTAACTGTCTTAACTTTTTTGATAATTTGATTGATCAGTGGCTACTACTTTACATTATGAGGGTACCGGGTTGACAGTTTTCAGGTATGTTAGTAAGGAACACGGTGTCTTTGGTAACACTTAGAAACGCTACTCTGGTCAAAAGTTGCATAATAATAGGGAATTTTAGTTTCATTTCGAACGGATAGGTTTTATTCATTTAGATTTATTGATTTTCAATCAAGTTTTCCCCAGACCTCGTGCAACTTAGATATACAATCCATCTCCAGATATACTGGAAGAATTGTCAGTTTAATTGCCATTCTAGGACTGTACTTGAATCTTCCTCCCATTTTCTCTCTTTAAAAAAGAGTCACATCAGACCATAAAATTGAACATTGCTGCCATATAAAAAAAGCCAAATCCATATATATTCCAAAATCAACCTTAAAAGAATTCAAAATCATTTACATATATAAGGATATAGGCGATGAATTATTTTGCACCATACAATAAAAAAAATTTACCCACAGTTGCACGCCTATTTTTACACTATCGCTATTTCATCGGGAAATGTTATGACGGGCTACATTCCTTATTTCCACCAGTTCATTCTTTTTCTACGGTTTATCAACCCTTTTCAGGTTATTTAAAGCCAGAATGTATCTTTAGATTGAAAGAATTTTTTTAGATCATAATTGTTTAGTGATATAATTAACCCATAGCTGGTGGGGGTATAAGAGATGGATTCATATCTTTCCCAAGGGTATTTTCGCGTTTAAGTAAATATCACGAACCCGAGTGCCATTGGAACTCGCCTCTCCGATTAACAATTCCGAGCCATTTATTGATTACACCACCCACACATCCAAGCTTTCAGAACTTGGTATTCCCAAGCGGTCACCCATTTAGGTATTGATCTGTCTTGACTTTGCTTAACTTCGGTAATCGTACGGGAACCAGTGCTTCAATGTGATGTGCCTGCATGAATAAATATCTGTCTGTACGTGTGGTGGGTTTTTAAATTGCTAAATTATTAAAATCGTCTTAACCAACTTCCGGTCAGTTCCGGTGTATTGCCATAGACGATGAAAAGTGATAATTATTTTCTCCATTTTCTTTTTAGAAATTAAAATAATCTTCATACGGCGGTTATAATTTTAAAAAATAAACGCTTATAAAAAAAATCGAAAAGCTGATGTTTCGAAAAAAAAATGAATAACACTTATCCATTTTGAAAGTTAATGGCGATAATGCTTTTCGACAAATGATAGAGTTCAGCTCAACAAAATTGTCAGAGATTCTGTCCAAGAAGACAAATTACTATATGTTTACTTAATTCGATCGATACTTACGTTCAGCTTGGCATTCTCTTTATCTATTTTGCTTATCGATTTATTTATTTCAATGTTTTTTTTTTTGTTTTGTAGCCTGTCTTTCCAATAAAACTCCCAATTTCTCTTCGAGAAGTTAATCAGTTTTAAATTTCTTCCATTTTTCTTCTAAGCTCGGATGTTTTTGGTTTTTTGTGGTTGTTTTTACACCCAGTATATGTCCCAAGATAGTTTTCAAAATAAAAGCTTTACTGAATGAGGTCATAGGTTTTCGGCTATATCATGTTGAACTAATAACTCTTCCTTCCAGAAATTCCAGACAGAAATTAAATTTTTTTGACGTTTTGAGTTCCTTTGTGCCGAGGACAATATATTTAGACATTTTGAAAGCATCTGACTAAAGTTTGTTCAATAAAGATCTTTTGAAGATGAATGCAATTCTCTTTTTTCCAAAACTTTATTTTCTAAAAGATGGTTGCATGTTATATTTCCAAAAAAATATTTGAATTGCCAACACTTATAGTTACATAATTTTGAGATACTGGTTTCTGTACGATCACCAAAGTTAAGCAACGTCAAGCCTGGACAATACCTAGACAGGTAACTGTTTGGGAATATCAGGTGCTGTAAGCATGGATGTGTGGTTGATATGATGAATAATAGCCCTGATTTGTTAATCGGAGAGCAGAGTTCCAATTCCAGTTGGGTTCGTTAAAACTGTCGCGCATATACCCTTTAGAAAGGCATGAATCCACATCACCTCTCAGCTAAAGATTAATTAATCAGACTGGTATTACTAAATCTTTATTATCTAAAAATTTCTTACAATCTATAAATATTTTCTGGCTTTAAATAATCTGCAAAGGGTTGGTAAACCATCAAAAATCTGCCATTCAATCAATCAATGAGGTTATATTATGGACATAAGAGGAGGGTGAAAGAAGTGTTCATTACGAGGGCAAGTTGAAAAGATATAAATTAACCTTACACTTGAAGAGGTTAAGATTTTATTAATCGGGGAAGCATCCTCTTGGGAGTCAGTTAGATTAAAATATTACTGAGTGGGGTGAATTACATGGACACATGAGGAGGATGTAGGAAATAAATATTCTGAGGATGTGGGGAAGATTTTCAAACAAATGATTTCAAACATTTTAAATCAATTTCATCAATTTTCTTTTTGATCTAAAAAAAACCAATGTTCGGGAAAAGATTTTTTTAAAGTTTGTTCCACCAAAAATTTTTTCCATGTTTTTTCAAGTTGTCCGAATGGAACTTTCATAAAATGGAATATAAAGAGTATGAGGATAACAGAAAATCGGTATATAAAAAAAATGGTGGATTTATCTGGAAATTCTGAACTGGTTTTATAAATGTTTCGTCATCACATTTAATTATGAAAAAAAATAAAGATATAGAGGAGAGGCAAATAAGGTTTTGTCTGCGGGTAAGGAGCTGTATGGTTTAAAAAAAAACGTAGTTCATCGCCCACGTAAAGCGACGTAAATTCATTCTTAATTCTGTCAAATTTGGAAAGCGGTACTCCATTGTTGATCTTGTAAAGACAGAACATGGAGCCTGGAGTCAAATACTTTCTGGGATAAACTTGAGTCTGAATAGAGGTTCCTAAAATTCTCTCCATTAATCCTCTGAGAGACTCCTCTCTGCCTTCCATCAGCATGGCTGATGCTAACCTCCAAGAAAGTGAGTCATTGTGCCTGGCTAACGTTCTCAGCTGACATGATGTGGAAATACTACATTGAATCCCACACTAGATCAAATGCTAAGACAGTTCGTTCACTGTGTCGAGCGTGACAATTTTTCTGTCCGAAATCTATCTTGCATATCCATAAATCTACCATTCGTCCATGCTTAGAATATTGCTGCCATATATGGCCCGGTGACCCTGCTATAAGCTAGTATACAGACATACTCGACTCTCCCGTCAAATTCGACGTATGAGGTTCAAGCAAATCAGTTCCTAGGAAACAGACAGCCTGACGCTAGCACATGAGATTTGATTATAGTGGGAGTTTTCTCCATCCATACTTTTTAAAGTGTCTAATAGAGGATTTAGTGCACTACGTGCCACAGGTTTTGAAACCAGAGTTGTCCTTCTCCTAGATTATCCAAGGCTATAGAACCCAGTCTGTCCTGCTATTTACAACATAGCTGGAGGGGAAGTTTTTCACACTTTTCCCAAGTGAATGTAATTTTTCGACTGAAATTTGAACTTTTCATTTTAGATTCCTCAATCCAAATCTCTATTTTTTTAATTTTTTTGCCATATATATATATATTTATATATATATATATATATATATTTATATATATATATATATATATATATATATTTATATATATTTATATATATATTTATATATATATTATATATATTATTTTATTTTCTTTTTTTTTTCTTTCTTTTTTTTTTTTTTTTCTTTTTTCATGGGTTTTTCTTTTCTTTTTCTTTTCTTTATTTATCTTCTTTTTCTTTCTTTCTTTTTCTTTTTTCTTTTTTTTCTTTCTTTATTTGTACTTTTATTTCTCTTCTTTCTTTTTTCTTTCTTTTCCTGCTTCCGTCTTTTTTCTCTCTTTCCTTGCAACTTCCTTTTCATTCGCTCTTTCTTTCTTTCTTTTCTTTTCTTTTTCATTTTATGCCTTATTCTCTCAACTTTTTTTCTATCTTTCCTGCTTCCGTCTTTCTCTCTTTTCTTGCAATTTACTTTTCTTACGCTTCTTTCTTTCTTTCTTTCTTTCTTTCTTTCTTTCTTTCTTTCTTTCTTATGGCCTCTTCTCTCTCCTTCCTTTTTTCATTATGTCTTCGTCTCTCTTTTTCTTTCTTCCTTTCTTTATTTATTTATTTCTTTCTTTCTTTCTTTCCTGCTTCCGTCTTTCTCTCTTTTCTTGAATCTTCCTTTCCATTCGCTTCTTTCTTTCTTTATTATGCCCTCTTCTTTCTTTCTTTCTTTCTTTCTTATGTTGTCTTCTCTCTTTTTCTTTCTTTCCTTTCTTCTTTCTCCTTTTTCTTCAACCTTCGCTTTCTTTCGCTTCTTTCTTTCTTTCTTTCTTTCTTTCGCTTCTTTCTTTCTTTCCTTCTTTCTTTCTTATGTCCCCATCGCTCTTCTTTCTTTCTTTCTTTCTTTCTTTCCTGCTTTCGTCTTTCTCTTTTTTCTTACATCTTCTTTTTCTTTAGCTTCTTTCTTTCGTTCTATCTTTCTTTTTCCTTTTTTTCTTTCTTTCTTTCCTTCTTCTCCATCCTTTCATTTCCCTTATTTCTTTCTTTCTTTCTTTCTTTCTTATGCCACCTTCTCTCTTCTTTCTTTCTTTCCTGCTTTCGTCTTTATGTCTTTTCTTGCATCTTCCTTGTCTTTCTTTATTATGCCCTCTTCTCTTTTCATTCTTTCTTTCTTTCTTTCTTTCTTTCTTTCCTGATTCTGTCTTTCTCTCTATTCTTGCATCTTCCTTTTCTTTCTTTCATTCTTCATTTCTTTATACCCTCTTCTCTCTTCTTCTTTCCTTTCTTTCTTTATTTCTTTCTTTCTTGCTTGGCTTCAGTCTTTCTCTCTATTCTTTTAATTCTTTTTTTCTGTCTTTTTTCTTTCTTTCTTTATGTCCTCTTCGCTCTTCTTTCTTTCTTTCTTTCTTTCTTTCTTTCTTTCTTTACCAATTGTGTTTTTCCTTCTTTTTTTATTTTCTTTTTCACATCGTTACATTCTTCCACAATTTTTCCTCCTAATTATCTTACAGATATTTTTTTGCATTTGTTCCTTTGACCGAAATAATAAATGTAAAAATTTATATATTAGCGTTCCACCCAGATGAGATTACAAAAACAAAACAATATACACACACACACACACACACACACACACACACATATATATATATATATATATATATATATATATATATAACCACAGAAGTGAAAACAAAGACAAATATATTCCAGAAAAAGAAAAAACAACGGATTTAATATATATATATATTTTGGGTAAGTTCGTTGTTTATATTTTTATATATATATATATATATATATATATATATATATGTTTAAAAGTCCGTTATATATATATATATATTTATATATATATATATATATATATATATATATTATCGAAAAATTCATTTAAAATCACTTTTTATTGGTAAACTCATATCGTCAACAGAGATGGCGACTATAATAAATATGTCCCTTTGTTCATTACGAGAGGTTTTTTTTTTGTTTTGTTTTGTTTTTTGTTTCCAGTCTGTTCTCTTTCTTTTCCTGTTTACTCCCCCTTCATATTCTTTATCCTTTTCCTTCCCTTACTTCAAATTTCAAAAACACCAAAATTACAGGAAAGAATTTACTTTTATCAATAAATATGGTCGATCATATGACGAAGCTACATTCAATAAAAGGCAATAACAGGATTTCCGGTTTTGGAGAAAAAACAAATGTAATTATATTCTATAAAACTTTTTTTAACGGTTTTGATTTTAAAAAGCATATTTGCTAAGTGAAAAAATTTTTTGGAAGGAAAAGGTACTTTTCTTTGTTATCCAACGATGTCCAGCGGATATCTATATTAGAATACCTTATGAGTGCATTTCCATCATGATTCCATAGATACAAACATAAAAACACAATTTTCAAACATATATATATATATATATATATATATATATATATATATATATATATATATATATATATATATATATATATTTGTGTATTTCAAAAATACTTTTACAAACTTGGTTCAAAAGTTATCACCAAAAATAAAGAACAAATTCCATATAACAATATGTCCGCCATTCCTTAGTTTTTTTTTTTTTATTTAGTTTAAAGTTTACATTAGAATGGAGAATATTAAAATATAAAATTTTTTGGTTCTTTTTAAAGGCTTTGGGGACAATTATCCTCTCTGAGCAACGCGACGATAAACAGCAGCAAAGATGACTTGGCAGGCCTTCGCTCTAGAAACGCAATCTGATACAGCCGTGCAGCCTCGCGTCCATTGCCATTCGCACTGCCGTGTGTAAAAATCATATCTGCCTGCTCACAATTGGTAAACAGAACACATCTCAGTTAACTCACTACTACACACGTTAAACGTTGAAGATAGAGTAGCCACAACTGTACACGAATGACAAATGTAACCTAGTCTATATGGCAACGCCATCTACCATAAACTTCCGTTAAACTTAATAACTCAAATACGAAGGATTTGCGGACATATCATTATAGGAACTTTTGTCCATGTTTTGGCGTGAGGAACCAGCACCCCCACCCAAATTTTGTAAACGTACTTCTTGATACACCCTGTATATGTGTGTATGTATGTATACATATATCTATATGTCTGTGTGCATACACAGATAGGGAATGTGTAAGACTGCCTGTGTGTATGTGTATGTGTGTGTATGTGTGTGTGTGTTGGAAAATGTGAACTTTTGAGGGGTTTTTATATGCACATTGTATATTAATATAAGCGCTCAGAAGAGTGATTAAACATCCGCTTTCCAGCCAGAAGGCCTCGGTGAGAATCTCCCCAATACCGATTTGTTAAGATAGATAGATAGATAGATAGATAGATAGATAGATAGATATGAACAGAGACTGTAATATATAGATAGACAGATAGATATGAACAGAGGTTGTGATAGATTGATAGATAGATAGATAGATAGATAGATAGATAGATATGGTCAGAAACTGTGATAGATAGATAGATAGATAGATAGATAGATAGTGTTATACTAGATCATACCTATTCTATTGTAAATAGACTCTCCCACAGATAATAAGTAGTAGTAGTAGTAGTAACAGTCGCCAGTGGGCTCAGTGAGTTGGGTGAGTCAGTCGATGTCGGACATCAAAGTATCAACCATCACAACTAGATTGCTGCGTCATTAACTATTATTTTCAAGTCCCTAACTTTTGTACGTCGACCCTAATTTAGGACCAACTTAGTGAAATACATGCCTCCACTGTGAAAACTACTCTACAATAGATAGATAGATAGATAGGAACAGAGACTGTAATATATAGATAGACAGATCGATATGAACAGAGATTGTGATAGATAGATAGATAGATAGATAGATAGATAGATAGATAATGGAAAGAATTAGATAGATAGATAGATAGATAGATAGATAGATAGATAGATAGATAGATAGATAGATTCTGCAGTCCCGCGCCTTTGCCGTTCACCCCAGAAAAGTATTCATCCGTCCATTTAACGTCTTGAGTTTAAGTAATTGATTTTAATTAATACAAAGCTTTTCTTTTTAAGTTATTAATGATTCTTTACCATCCTTCTCCAGGTCAAATTTTTATATCTCCCCAAATGAAGGTTTTTTTTCATTTTTTCAGATGCATGGTCGACGATTGCATATTTTGATATATTTTTTTACTTACATTCAGCCTTTCCACAGTCAACGAAGCCTTCTCCCAGCGATGGAAAAAATCACCACTATTTAATTGTATCAGATCGCCTTTTATAAGATATATTATATATATATGCCTATCCATATATTATATATAAATAAAAAAACCCAGGATGGGAAACCGATTCCATCCCTGATGTCCCGACTATACGACAAGAAAGACTGGGTGTGTGGTATATGTAGAACTCATAGAATACCTGAGTACATATTCTTGACTTATAAACATTTATATAAAAATTTATATATCGTTAGCCTATATATATAAGTGTGTGCGTGTGTGAAGATATGTAGAAAAATAGGAATTATTAAAAATAAAATAAAAAATATTAAAAATTATTGAATTAAAAATAAAATCCTATTAAAAATAGGATTATTAAGTTTCTAAATAATGAAAATTTATTAAACCATAGACATGAGTTAACGGCTTTCAGCCGACATCAACAAATTTTCGCATTAAATAATTAGCATTGAAAAAAATTAAATTTCATAGTCTAAAATAAGGTTTAAAAGCTTAACCCAATCACACGATAGAAAAACCCTTTATGAAGTCGTCAAAAAAACAAATTGTAGTTCAGTGCGACGTGTTTAAGTATGAAACAGACCTTTAGAAATAAAATAAAATAGAATAAAAATAAAAAATAAATATATAAAAGAATAAATAAATAAAATAAAACAAAATTCTTTAGACATTTAACGATATACTATGGGGCCAAAAGTAATCTTTAGCTGTGACTGACCAGACGATGTGCGCACATGAATGCCATCATTCGCTTTGAAATGGATATCCCCACCCTACCTCAGTTTGACCTCTTTCCGAAGGTGACTGATATGTTGATAAAAATTATTTCTTAGACCCTTTACCAAAATGGATGCCCCAGCCGTTTCCATAGTAATTAATTCTGTGAATGAACATGCTTATAAAGATGCGTAAATTTCAAGATTGGTTATTTCAAAATTTTCGCTTGAGGATGAAACAAGGCTTGATACTTTAATTCAATTATTAGATTGAAGTTTTCGGCTCTGGTTTTTGAAACATGAGAACTCTTATATGTAGCAGAAGGAATCATATTTTTAAAAATATATATATATATATATATATATATATATATATATATATATATATATATATATATATATATATATATATATATCATTGAATACGATTTTTTTGCTTTTATTTTTTTTTTACAATTTCTCATGTGACCTAATATTTTTTTTTCGGATGATAAATATCAACAATTAATAATATTAACTTTGAACATGGACACAATATCTGGACCGTGTTTTGAAAAAAAAAAATTTTTAAAACATTTATGCAACAAATTATTTCTTATTTAACAGTTAAAATATTTAATCATTGAAAATGGCTAAATGTATAGCCGAAAGCGTTCGGATAAAAAAAAAATTCGGACAGTTTTTATATAATTTATCATCCGAAAAAAAATTATTAGATCGTTTGAGAAATTTATAAAAAAAAACTAAAAAAAAGCACCTTGTCTGTCGTATTCAATGAAATATATATATATATATATATATATATATATATATATATATATATATATTTTTTAAAAATATGATTCCTTAATATAATATAGTTTAATAAATGTTTAAAAACGAGAGCCGAGAATATGAAAGAAGGATTGCTGCCTAAATAAAAAATATATATATATATATATATACAGGAAAAGCATCCATACCCAACGTTGCCTGGGCATAAAAAATGTAATTCTAAATTTTAATTTAATGGGTGAAAACTCACTTTCATTTCAGAATCAATCAAAAGAAAGAAAATCATTTTATAAAATAAGCGTACTGTATTTAAATAACAATATGTTTTACAATAATTCAATAAACTATTTCACAAAAACTGATAGTGAAATGTTATTTTTCTTATTCCTTGGCAACGCTGAGTATGGTTGCTTGTAGCGTACTAAAACAGTATGATAAAAGCAAAAGCTTGTCGATCAGAAAAAGCGTTTAATTAGAATGGAGCAAAAACAGCATCATGTTTAGATGTAACGGAGTCTATATTCTTCAATTACTTTAAAGTATTTTCCTTAAAAAACATTTTGAATTAATGCAGTTACTGATATAACAAAAGTAGTCTGTATTTATTCGATCGAAGTTAACCAAGGACATGAAGGGGTAAAACAGGCAACATGAAGACCCACTTCAGACCACAATTATTTTGGCGTTTTTGAAATTCAATTTTTCAGTGTGCTGCCAGGGATGTAAAAGAGTATACATTTATAAGGCAATTGTTAAGTTTGATGAAAATTGATTGAAAGATCAACGAAAAATAAGAAAGAAACCAGTAAAAATTGCATTTTTTTTTTTGTTTTCACTATATGGGTGGACTCTGTTATCAATTTAAAACACTGTTAAACAATCAACTTATTGTTGGCTACATTTGAGTGAAGTTTGTAATAGATTGCTTGAAAAGTGAAGGAGTTTTTAGTTTAAAATTTGTGTTGAAATCGTTTTGTCGTTTTTCGCAGGTTTCCGCTAAACGCAGTAGGCGTAGAAGTAAAAAAAACAAATGAGTTATCATAGAGCTTGTCATGATGTAAGTAACCTACATACCGAGTCTGAACGAAATCGAAGGAAAAAAGATGAAAAAATGATGATTTTTGATCGGCTTTACCGATTATTGATTTTTTAAAAATTATCGATTTTTTTACGCTAAGAACCTATCCCTTATATGTACAATGTATTTGTTTCATGTTTTGGTCAAAATCGATTGGATGGATCTTGAATTAAAAAAAAGTATCACACAGGCAGACACACAGACAGAAACACATCCTCCGTTTATATATATATATATATATATATATATATATATATATATATATATATATATATATATATATATATATATTCTTTTTCTTTTTGAATTTGTAGGTCTGATGAATTGGATCGAATTTACGACTCAATGGAATAAATTATAAACCATGGAATATTAGTGTTTAATTTTTTTTATTATATATATATATATATATATATATATATATATATATATATATATATATATATATATATATATATATATGTGTGTGTGTGTGAATGTCAATGTTGTGCGTTTGGTTTAATTTAAACTTTTTTAAAAATTTTTTCTTTCTCTTTTTCTCGTTCTCTTTTTTTCTTTCTGATTCCTTTTTTTTTTCTTTCTTTTCTCTCTTTCTTTTTCTTTTTTCTTTTCTCTCTCTGTCATTTTCTTTTAAACAAATAATTCCTTTCCCCGTTTTTTTTTCTTTATTTTTGTTTTTTAAATTTCTGTTTTTCTTTCTCATTTTTCTTATTTTCATTCGGTTTTCCATGTTTTTCTTTTCCTTTTCCTGTTTCCTTTCTCTTTCTCTTTCACGTCTTTCTCTCTGTCTTTCTTTCTCATTGTCATTTGTCTCTCTTTCTGTTTATACCTCTTTCTTTTTTCATTCGTGCTTCTTTGTCATTCCCTTTATCTATTGTTTTTCTTTTTAACTTTTCTTTCTTTTTGTCTTTTTCAGTTTCATTCTCTTTCTCTGATTGTCTCTTTTTATTTCATTTTTTAAAAATTTTTCATTTAAAAAGAAAAACGTAACCTTTCTCTTCCCTTTTTTTTCATTTTTTCATTTCTTTTTTCTTTCTTTCCACTTTTCTTTTTTTTTTTTTTTTTTAGTTTCATTCTTTTTTTTCATTCAATCTCTTTTTATTTCATTTTTTTTTTTTTTTTCATTTAATTTTTTTTTCTTTTACCTTTCTCTTCATTTTTTTTGTTCTCTTTTTCATTTCTTTTTTTCTTTCTTTCCACTTTTCTTTCTCTTTGTTTTTTCAGTTTCATTCTCTTTCTTTCATTGTCTCTTTTTATTTCATTTTTCTTTCTTTTTCATTTAATTTTTCTCTTTACCTTTCTCTTCCCTTTTTCTTTCTCTTTTCATTCTCTTTTTCTTTCTTTCCACTTTTCTTTCTCTTATCTTTTTCTTTCTCTTTTCATTCTATTTCTTTTTTTCTTTCTTTCCACTTTTCTTTCTCTTTGTCTTTTTCAGTTTCATTTTCTTTCTTTGTCTCATTTTTACTTTTTTCCTCCATTTTTTTCATTTACTTTTTCTCTTTTTCATTCTCTTTCTCTTTCTATGTCTTTCATTTTTTTCTTTCTTTTTTTGACTCCTTTTCACTTTCTTTCTCTTTTCGTTCTCTTTTTCGTTTTCTTTTCTATTTTTCTTTCTCTGATTTTCAACATTTCTTCCTTTTTCTTTCTTTTTGTCTTTCTTTTTTTTTTTTTTCACGCCTAATTTCATTCCTCGTTAGCATTCCCTCCTCAAAAGTACTTGTTCTCTCATAGCTTCAGAAGAAAATTACAGATAAATATGTGCGGCTGTCATGTCAGCCATCTTCATTACTAAGACACCCAGTGTCTCTTTTCCACTCTGCACTATACTCACTTATTTACTTATTCACGCCTTGCGGCCAGAGTCTGACTGAAGAAGAAAATCGAAGCGTCCAGTCTGCTCTTACTCCATTATCTAATGTTAAGAAATTCACTCCACTTAAAGTCACAAACGAATTCACAAAGCGGAAAGTGTGCTATTCAGAAAGTACAATTACCCTGGCGTGGAAAATTGTTCCGCCATGTCTTGATTGCGTCAACATACATCCATACAGCGTAGATTATTTTAGTTAACAAGCAAAAAGTTAGCAAAACCGATTTGTGTCTGGTTTCGGAGTTGAGATAGTTTACCAATTCCCATCGGTACCAGCTGTCGGTGTTCGGGTCGAGATAAAAGTCAAATATCTTAATGTCCATTTTTTTAAGCCATAATTTTTCTTCGGAGATATGTTGTTGATTCCCGTTACATTCTCCACTGTGACAATATTGAGACACTACCTCTAGTTGTCTGTCTGTTGACTCTTTCGGGTTTGACAGGTTTTATTTGACACGAAAATATCTGATAAGGTGCGATACAAATAACTTTTTGAAGCTTGTTTTATATGGGAATATTTATGTATTATATTCAAGTAATCCATAATCTTTACTGGGAACAAAGATCCTGCATACAAATAAAAAAAAACAATTTAATCACATATACAGTAGGAAACTAATCAGTTTTCTCCACATTTCGCCAAAAGGGAAAATTCCAAGGGGGGGGGATGATCAGTTTTTATGCGGCTTTTCACGAAATAGTCACTGAACTCGAGATGTTATATCAGAGCCAATAATATTGCATATTCTTTTTTGTATTTTATCAAGAATCTCTAAATATATAGTAGAAGCACAGGATCAGATGTTACTATATATTATTTACAATTCTTTTTCACCTATTTCCATTTGATATTACAATATTCCCATTCAGTATCCCTCTACCTTGAATGACTCTTAGGCATTGTATTGAGTAAACAATAGTAAAAAGAAATTAAAATGAAAAGAGAAAAGGTTTGTTTTGTTTTTTGTAATTTCATCCCAACCAAGGCAATAAAGCCACTAAGACGCAAGGGATTACTCGGTGAATATATAAAAAAATATATAAAATATTATAATAAATATTAAGGAGTGAGAACAATAAAAGAATAGGAATTAAAAAGACAGAAGATAATGAAAGAGGTTTTATTCAAATTTTTGAAGATCAATGTTAACTGGAAAGCAAGAAGCCCGAAGAGTGTTCCACAAGCGAGTGTTGCGAGAGAATAATCTGCTAGCATAGCCGGTTATATTTCGCCATTTTCGGCTGGAAACTGATAAGATCTTGCTGCTAACCTAGTACTACGCTTAAATTTATAGAACAATTACCATGAAAGTATTTATAGAAAAGACAAAGGAAATCTACGTCACAACGGCGTGAAAGTGATCGAGGCAGAGATGCAAAGTCAGGACCAATAACATAGCATATTCCTCTTTGTATTTTATCAAGAATCTCTAAATATATACGAGAAGCCCCGAATCAGATACAACAATATTCAGCGCATGGATGAAAGATAGATATATGTTTGTTTGTGTTTTTGTTTTGGTTTACGGCATATCAACACGTCAATGGGTCAATTAATGCCTCAATTTTTTTTTCCTGGTAATATATTTTGTCAAAAATCTATTTCTGGTAATATTTTTTCCTCAAAAATGTATAGCTAGTAATATTATTTTTTTCAAAAACGTATAGCCAGCAACACTATTCTTTCAAAAGCGTATAGCTGGTAATATTATTTTTTCAAAAACGTACAGATGCCAAGATTAATTTTTCAAAAACGTATTATCAGAGGGCTTGCTGTTGGACGTAGTTTATCGTCATACCCAGGACGCGGATGTAGTTTATCGTCTTATCCAGGACGCGGATGTAGTTTATCGTCATGCCCAGGACGTGGATGTAGTTTATCGTCTTACCCAGGACCCAGATGTTGTTTATCGTCATACCCAAGACTCAGATGTTGTTTATTGTCATACCCAGGACTCTGATGTAGTTCATCGTCTTATCCAGGACGCGGATGTAGTTTATCGTCTTGCCCAGGACGCAGATGTAGTTTATCGTCATACCCAGGACGCGGATGTAGTTTATCGTCATACCATGGTCGCGGATGTAGTTTATCGTCTTACCCAGGAGGAATAGATTTATGAATGTGTTAGATAGAGTCATGATATAAGAATTGTCTATCACGACACAGTGAAGCAACTTTCCTAGCAGAAAACCTAGCAATTGATTCAATATAATCGTTCCACTTCAACACAACTTCAACTTCAGCTGAAAACGTCAGCCCGACAATCTGCAAGAGGTCAGTCCACTGGGGGTTAGCATCAGCCACGAGAAACTGAGCAGAAATTACAAAATAGGCTCTCCTGAAACTCTTTCCTTAAGCCGTTGAAAATATCCCAGAAACTTTCGATTCCATTGAGTTTTTCTCAGGCCTGGATCTGTTTTTATTGCCATCCTCCAGATCTATGAAACTGAGATCAAAAGAACAAGTTGTTCCCTAGTGAGACGACAAGTCCTTTGAATCAATTTTCAGAAAGACTTGAAGAAATTCGACAAGACGCCATATGTCAGAGATTACCCCTATAGCGAGAGGGAGTGATACATTTCCAGAATATATCCTTTCATTACAAAAATATTTATATATATATATATATATATATATATATATATATAATATACATACAGACATATATATATATATATATATATACATATATATATATATATATATATATATATATATATATATATTGATATAATTGTTGATGTTTTTGTGACCGTGCTATTTACGACGTTAGAACAAAATGATTAATTTTAAATTTTAGATTTATATATGGTTGTGTATATCGGTGTTCTTATGGTAGTGGGAGCTTTCAATAAGTAAATGAATATATAAATATATAAATAATATAAAAAAATTATAAATATAAAAAATATATATATTTATATATATATATATATATATATATATATATATATATATATATATATATATATATATATATATATATATATATATATTATAAATTAATTTATTTAAAATATGATTTTTTACATTTTTACGCAGTTCTAAGCATGTTTCAAAAATGGAAGCTAAAAGCCCCGAATTTAAAAATTTTTTGTAATTAAATTAAAAGACATTAGTTCATTTCATCCTCAACTATGGTCCACTATTTTATGGACATCTGGATATATATATATATATATATATATATATATATATATATATATATATATATATATATATATATATATATTAAGATTTTTTTGAAATATGGTAATTCCTATGTAGCGATGGAATCATATTTTTAAAAAATAATAATTATAATATATATATATATAGGAAGTTCCCGAGGGAAATAAGACGTGTTGCAAAGTATTTTTCTCAACATAACGTTTTATTAAGATAGATAGATAGATAGATAGATAGATAGATAGATAGATAGATAGATAGATAGATAGATAGATAGATGACAGAGTTAAAAAGTTTACTTGTGACGCGTTTCGTTCTTCAGGACTTCATCGGACTAAATTTGTTATGTTCATACAATTACACATACGCATGAGCGAGGGATGCTGGGATTTTTAGAATTGTTTTAGAATTTTTCCCCTCTTTTGTAATATCTAGCTGATTTCATTTAGAGTCTTCTTCCATTTTCTTTTCATCCCTTTTATTATTAGATATCCCACACTGTGATAATAGAAGAACTGCCAGGAATGGTGAAATATTTTAAGAACCAGGTCTTGAATTTACTGTAGATGACCTTGCAATAAAGTCACTCTCTAGACATTTACCCGTAGTGAATTGTTATTTTTTCCTTTGATCGGAGTAATATATTATGCCAATACTGTGGTCAGTCTCGTGACGGCACTCAACACCCCAAAAATCGTACGCATGTCTAGTTGTGCCAGTATAACAAATTTAGTACCTGAAGGACGAAATAAATCACAAGTAAACTTTTCCATTTTTGTCATACATTTCCTTGAATTTTTGATATTGATATATAAAAAATATATATATATATATATATATATATATATATATATATATATATATATATATATATATGAATTAATAAATATCGTAATATCTTAATTATTATAATAATATGTTAGATTATTAGATCTCTTTTAAATATTCATGAAGACCTACCGGACACTATTCATAACATACTAGTTGACAACGCTAATATAATAGCATCATGCACATGCAAAAAATTATTAAATTATTAAAAAAAAAGAGAAAAAAACACTTAATAATATTAACTTTAAACATGAACATAATATCTTGAGCATGTTTTGAAAAAATGAAAACATTTTATAAAACATACATGCAACAAAGTATTTCTTATTTAACAATTAAAATATTTAATCCTTGAAAATGGCTAAATGTATAGCCGAAAGCGCTCGGATAAAAAGAACATTCGGACAGTTTTTATGTAATTTATCATCCGAAAAAAGAAAATTATTAGATCGCATGAGAAATTGTATAAAAAAAAATAAAAATTTTTTCTTTGTCTGTCGTATTCAATTAAATGTGCATATATATAAATATATATATTTAAAAGATCATTTTATGTTTAACGTTCTTTTTATATAGATACAAATATTTAAGTAAATGCTCTGTTTATAATAAACAAATTACATTTTTTTACCGGCCTGAATGTTTCAAAAAAAATTTTTATAGAAAACATTCGTCCTTTGACAGGATTCGAACCTGCATCCTATACGGAACCAAATCATTTTTGACGTGCCTTACCAATCGGCCTAATAAAAGAATCGTTTGGTAGGCAATATCGATTTTATATATTTATAAAACTACCGAACGCTCCTTTGATATTCCGATTGGTAAACGCGTCAGCGTAAATGACGGTTCCGTATAGGATGCAGGTTCGAATCCTGTCAAAGGACGAATATTTTCTATATGAAAATTTCTCGGACATTCATCGCCGGTAAATGTTATTTAATACTGTTTATTATAAACAGAGCATTTACTTAAATACTTGTATCTATAAAAAAGAACGTTAAACATAAAAATGTCTTTAATAAATAAATTGTTGGACTTTGTCCATTTCTTAATATATATATATATATACGGGAACAAAATTTTTATTTTTCAAAATATTTTAGAAGTATAAAGAAGTTGAAGCTCCTCAATCGCATGCATTCAAAGTGTATTCATACTGTGTCTAAAATAAAATGATTTAATATAAAACAGTCCGTCCTTGTCTATCGTTTAATGTCTATGTGTGTGTGAGAGAGAAAGATAGAGATAGATAGATTCATGAGGTGAGGAATGATTTTAGAGTGTAAATTTGGATGGATGAGAATCCGGAAGAATGGTAAATATGTAAAACTCTTATCAAAAATTTTGCTGTGACGTGTTTCGACAATGAACCGACATCATCAGAAAAATAAATTTATTTCCCAACAACATATGCAATAGCGAGACAATACGTGATTCACGTGAAGCCGTTGTACGCTTGCCTTTTAATTTAATTGTATCGAAATTAGGTTTTAATTTCAATTCTGTTCTTATTTATTCCTATAATGTAAGCTTAATAAATTTTAAACAGAACGGACATTTTGCATTTAAAAGTAGGGGTCTTCCAAGGCAATTTACACCAAAAACTTATTTCGGCGAAACATCACGAAATTTAAAGAAAATAATATGCGAGCATAAAAAGGACTTTAATTTTAAATTTTATTTAATTTTAATTTAAAACACTCAATGCGATTATTAAAGTACAATGAACTATGAGTACCCTACTTTTAGTATACACTCGGAATATTTCTGTTTATTGCCAGTTCTTACTAAATTGGTACTTGAGATACCCTCCAAAACGAAACTGTTCTCATTTACCCACTATAAAGAACCCTCCCTGCCTCCTATCAAAATGGCTGATGCCCAGCTCCACGAAAGCGCCTTTCTTGGTCTCATGCTTTCCACTGAACTGAGGTGGAACAACTACATTGAATCAATAGCTTCATCTCCCGCAACAAAAGTTGGTTCACTGTGTCGCAACTGAAGGTTTTTCTCTACTGAGTCCATCCTTCAAATCTACAGCCATTTCTCCTTGCAGTGAGTACTGCTGCCATATATGGTCTACTGACCCCGCTGTTTATCTCGAGGTCCTCGATAAAATCCAGAGACGAATATGCAATGTGATAGGTCTTAATCTAGCATTTCGTCTACAGCCACTCTCTCACAGATGTACTGTGGCTTCCCTATGTCTTTTCTACAAGTATTTTCATGGCAACTGCACTACCGACCTATTTTCTCTGGTTCCCAAGCTGCATAAATTTAAGCGTGCTACTAGGTTGGCATCTCAGTCCCACCCTTTCACTGTCGAAACAGTTAAATGTAACCGCCTCTTCTACACCAACAGCTTCTTCTTTCTCACTTCCCGACAGCGGAACTCCCTTCCTCTTACTTGCTTCCCTGATAGCTATAATCTTCAAATATTCAAATGTAATGTCAATCGACATCTTCTGATGCCTTGATCCTGATCCCCGTCTTCCTCTATATCCTTTATATCCTTTCCTCAAACAAAAATATTGTCAGTAATACATTTTTGAATAAAATGCTTGGGGTGAAAAAAAAAAAAAAAAAAATAAATTAAATAACCCATTAAGGTTGATGAATTATTTAAAAGAAATAAACAAAACCAAACCAGAATTACAGTTTAGATATAAAATCTTTATCCCAAAATGTAAAAAATTGCCTAAAATTTATTAAGTTTGAACGTTTATAATATATATATATATATATATATATATATATATATATATATATATATATATATATATATATATATATAAAAAAATATGTCTATATATATATATATATATATATATATATATATATATAAAAATTAAAAAAGAGGATATATATAAGGTAGAATTAAATGTATAGGACAGTTTAAAAATATAATATAAATATTGAAACATTAATATTCCATATCATAATTACATTACATTGGAATCGTAATCACGATCAATTCATCAGACCTACAAATTATTTTTGTTTTTTCTACAAATTTTTAACAAGGCTTACACGGCAAAATTGTAGGTTGAATGAATTTAAAGGTCGGATGAATTGGATATGTGATTAAGATTACAATTTGAATAATAACCATGGAATAATGAATATTCAATTTTTTATTATTTTTATATATATATAAAAATATATATATATATATATATATATATATATATTTATATAATATATAAAAGTATACAGGTTTTGGATACAGACTGATTAAAATAAAGTTCTTGTCCTCGTTTGTTGATTTAAAATTCTATGTTAAGACTTGTTTATTTTATTATATTGCGTAAAATATTATAACTAATTTATTTATGATTTATATGGTTCTAATTATTAAAGATGAAGTATCAAGAAAATAAAAATTAAAAAATTATTTAAAATGAAAAATTTAAAATCTCGGCCGTTAAGTTTCAAGGAAATTTTTTAAAAGTGCTTTTGCCATTCTTTTGTCCAGCAATAGCAGAATGTTTGGAACCCCAACTCCTGTCACCCAATGAATTCAAAAGGATTTTTGCAGCCGAAACTGTGCTGGCGTATCTTGGGACAAAAGATAGCCTTTTTCCAATTAGAATAGTATCACGATGAAATACCGGTTCCCGTTCAGCCACTGAAGTTACGCAACGTCGAGCCTGGTCAGTTATATTGGTGACCGCCAAGAAATACCAGGTGTTATAAACTTAGATTGTGGTAATATAGTGGATAATGGCTCACAGCAAAGCAAACCAAGCAGGTAGCACCCTCCACATTAATAATATTCCGGCCGAATCATACACTCCCTTGTCAATGTCAAATTCTTCATTTTTACCTTTGAACAAAAGAATACGAGTGAGGTATATATATATATATATATATATATATTATATATATATATATATATATATATTTAATTATTCGGACTATTGTCCTTTTCTTTGTCGCCATATTTATTACAACGTTTCGGCCGTTGTAGCTATCAGAACCTAATATGAGGTGTTTGAAATTCCAAAACTGAACTCTGATTATTTCGATATAATTATTAACTGTTTTAGTTTTTGCCATGTCTAATGGATGTCAGTTATCAGTATTATCAAATAAAAATTTCCTCTGAACTTGAGTTGACACTTTTGGGTCCTTTCAATGGATTTAACCAACGCCTTTATCCACTGTGCCATGTGTTAAATGCAAGGATATCTGGGTATGAATTTTGGGTATTATAAACCTAATGTTTTCAGTTAACTATTTTACCAGTGCTAATATTTTTTCTTATTTGCTGTTATTATTTATATATAGATAGAAAATTATAGATGAGGAGAGTGTTTAAGATATATGTGTGTGTGTGTGTGTGTGCAAGTGTGTGTGTGTGTTGTGTGATATAAATGTATACATGTGCTGGATACAAACTACCTGTTATGAAGTTCTCCAACGCGTGGTGCCTTGCTATTTAAAATTTGTTAAAGATTGTTTATTTTATTATTAGTTGCATAAAATATTATAATTAATTATTTATACCCTTCTAATTCTTAAAGACGAAGTATCAAAAAATAAAATTTTAGAATTATTTTAAATGAAAAATTTAAAATCAGAAATCTAGTAAAGTATCAAGGGAGATAACTAAGGAATACTTGCGCCAGAGATTCTTTTGTCCAGTATTGTAAGATGTTCACAATCACAACTCCCGTCACCCATTGAAGTCATAGTAGCACAACAGCAGCCAGCTATTAAATATACATTTAGAAAGGTGACAGGCCTTTATATATAGTTACAACGTCGGGAAATAATGTTTTACAGCTTCTTTGAGGTTCCAAAATGGCTTCCTGTCAAACCGCATTGTCTGGATTATGTTTAAAAGTAAAAAGTGAAAATAAATGACTATTCAAGAATTTAATTTTTATAAATAAGGTGTCAGCAAACAATGGCTTCAGTTATGTATACATGTCGTTTCGTCTTGCAGGAAGTTCATCCGTCTTGTTTTTCCAATAAATGCGGCCTTGTGGGTCATGATTTGTTTTTCCGCCCTCATTTTTCTCAGACAGAATAGGCTAAAATCGCTACTGCCAAGGGTTCAGACCTTCACATCTTGCTGAATCCAAATGCATGAACCACTGTTTAGAATTAGACATAAATAAAAAAAAAAAAAAAATGGAAAACGACTAAAGAATGGTCAAATCGTAAGCAGAGTTCGAATTCAGACCAAGTTCAAAAACAATTATTATGTCAAATATTTTTTAAACTTTATATCACATGAAATGAATACCTATAAGTTAAATAGTATATTTTTTGTGTTTTTAAAAATCATTTGACATTAAAAAAAAATGTTGATTTTGAAATTTTCGCGCAAAATATTTATTTATTCATTATATTTTATGGAGTACGTTGCACTCAAATAACTTCTTGGAATTATTGCAATGATGAATTTTTCCCAAAATGATGCGCCTCTGATCAACGCAATTTTAGCTTCTTCAAGTCGAGGGTTATCTACCTTACATATCGTCATAATACCCTTGCTTCCTCCATAAAAGTGTTAACAATATCCCCATTCAGTATCCAAGAATGTTGAATGGCTCTTATATTCATTAATACTGAATGAACAATATTAAAAATGAATTAAAATTCTTTTCTTTTTTTTTTTTTTTTTTTTTTTATTTTTCCATCCCAACCAAAAAATCAAAGCCACTAAGACGCAAGGAATTACTTAAATTTGAAAAAAACAAAAAAGAAAAAATATTAAGGAATGAGGACAATAAAAGAACAGAAATTAAAAAGACAGAAGATAATGAAAGAGGTTTTATTGAAAATTTTGAAGATCAATGTTAACTGGAAAAAAAAAAAAAATTCATTCATTTGAGAAGAAAAATTAGCATAAAAAAATTGTCTCGCCATTTTCGGCTGGAAATTGATGAGATTTTGCTTCCAATCTAGTACTGCCTTAAATTCATAGTTCAATTACCAAAAATATTTATTATAAATTACACAGAATTCTACGTTACAACAGTACATTCTTTTTGTGGCAGAGATGCCAGATCAGGATTCAACAAAAAATTATTAAAATTCTTTGTATTTTATCAAGAACCTCTAAATATACAGCAGATCACCAGTTATATCTCGCCATTTTCGGTTTTGGAAACCAAATAGTAATGTTTTTTTGCCAATCTAGTACATTCATTAAATTTATAGAACAATTACCATGTTTTATTTATAGAAACTTTCAAAGGAAATCTACGTCACAACGGCGTGAAAGTGATTGAGGCAGAGATGCCAGGTCAGGACCAATAACATTTAAAATTCCTTTTGTTTTCTATCAAGAATATCTAAATATATAGCAGAAGCGCCGAATCAGATGTTTCTATATATTATTTACAACACTTTTTCACCTATTTCAAATTACTATTAAAATATTCCCATTCAGTATCCCTCTACCTTGAAAGGCTCTTTAAAAATTGTATTGAGTAAACAATAGTAAAAAGAAATTAAAATGATAGGAGAAAAGGTTTGTTTTGTTTTGTTTTTTTATAATTTCATCCCAACCAAGGCAATAAAGCCACTAAGACGCAAGGAATTGCTCGGTGTGAAAGAATATAAAAAAGAACAAAATATTAAGGAGTATGAACAATAAAAAACAGGAATTAAAAAGACAGGGGATTATGATAGAGGTCGTATTTAAATTTTTGAAGATCAATGTTAACTGGAAAGCAAGAAGCCTGAAGAGTGTTTCACGAGCGAGTGTTGCGGGAGAAGATACTGTTAGCATAGCCGGTTATATCTCGCCATTTTCGGCTGGAAATTGATGAGACCTTGCTTCCAATCTAGTGAACTGAGATTAAAAATAAAACAATTACCAAAATTTTATATAAATTACACAGGAAATCAGGTTTTACAACAGAATTAATTGATTGTGGCAGAGATGCCAGATCAGGATCAATAACATTGCAGATTATTATTATTCTTTGTATTTTATCAAGAACCTCTAAATATACAGCAGATCACCAGTTATATCTCGCCATTTTCGGCTGGAAACTGATAAGATCTTGCTGCCAATCTAGTACTACGCTTAAATTTATAGAACAATTACCATGAAAGTATTTATAGAAAAGTCAAAGGAAATCTACGTCACAACGGCGTGAAAGTGATTGAGGCAGAGATGCCAGGTCAGGACCAATAACATAGCATATTCCTCTTTGTATTTTATCAAGAATCTCTAAATATATAACAGAAGCCCCGAATCAGATGTTTCTATATATTATTTACAACTCTTTTTCACCTATTTCCAATTACTATTACAATATTTCCCTTTCAGTATCCCTCTACTTTGAAAGGCTCTCGGGCATGTTTCTATATATTATTTACAACTTTTATTTTTACCTCTCTCCTTCAAATATGGATACAACTGAGGTTAATGCTGTGGATGTTGATGATTGCCATATCGAATTCGATCTAGTCAATAAAATAGCTCCGTTCTTGCGTTAGACATAGGAACAACTCTGGTGCGGGCATATATCTTTTTTTCTTTGTTTTTATTTTTTAAGCATATCGCTCCAAGCAAGACGGGAGTGCCTCTAGCACGCCAGGGTTTACAGAGAGTGAGAGCAAGAGTAGAGAGGGATGTTTGAGGAAAGGATATAGAGGAGGGAGGGGATCAGGATAAAGGCTTCAGAAGATGTCGATTGACATTACATTTGAATATCTGAAGATTATAGCTATCAGGAAGCAAGTAAGGGGAAGGGAGTTCCACTGTCGGGAAGAGCGAGATAAGAAGCTATTAGACTAGAAGAGACGGCTACATCTAACCGTTTCGACAATGAAAGGGTTGGACCGAGATGTCAACCTAGTAGCATGCTTAAATTCATGCACTTGGGGGTATCAGTGAACGTAGCTCGTCAGAGCAGTTGCCATGAAAATATTTGTAGAGAAGACAGGGGGAAGTCACTGAATGTCAATGAGAAGTGAGATGCCAGATCAGGACCTATCACATTGCATATAAAAACAAAAGTTTTATTCCTGTTCTCCAGCTTCTATATGTTTAAAAATGTCACCCCAAGCGAGGCAATAAAGCCACTAAGATGCAAGTTTACTGGAAAGCAAAAATCAGGAATATAGTCTAAATTTTTGCTTCAATCCTGCTGCTAGGATAAAATTTTTCGAACTACCCAACTGAGGTGGATACTGAAGTGGGTGTGCCCTTGGCGTAGCCGTTATCGGCTCGTTAATCGGAACTGGCGTGTCGAGTTAAACTTTCAGTTAAAGTCGTTACGTTCGCTTTACCATAAATATATGCTTGGTAAAGTTATGCTTTCTCAAACATCACCTTCAACTGATGCTGGACGGGGTTCTTTAATCTTGATTGCCGACCAGTCTAGGAAACGCACTACTCTGAATCCAAAACCGGTTGGCAGTGGGAATAATAGCAGCATGTTACAGAAGAGGTATGACGGGTCCAAGATGTGAAGGTCTGAACTGGTGAACAGTAGCGAAAGGTTAGGAACGACTTAAATTTTAAATTATATTCTGACGAACATTGAACATTGAAATATTTAAAATTGAAAAATAAGTAAAATAAATAAAAAATCTTCCAAGTAGCAAAGTTTAAACATAACTCTTATTAAACGATAAAGAGAAAAAAAAGCGTAAATAACAAATGTCTAAAAAGCAAATGGCGACACTTGACTTGCTGAACTTTGTCCAACTTCATTCTCACACTGATGAGAAAGATATTTGTCAGTTTGTGTGAATTGAAGCAGCAGACCAAAAAGAGAACGAAGATGATGTCTGAAGGAAGATGCCACTTTTCTTGAAGAATCCTCGGTGCCACAGCTTGTGTCAGAAATGACAGAATCTGTGTCTTCCTCCGTATCAACAGCGCTAACTTCATCTTCCTCATTAGCAAGAGACGGAGAAAACATGGCCGGCATTATGCTATAATCTTCATTGGGTTCCATTTCATAAGGTAACTGGCCACCACCACAGATTCCATGCCCCACACCTGCTTCTTGGAGAGCAGGGGTTCCAGACACAACTTCGTGCTTTATTGCCTTCAATAAATTATAGAAATTATAGAGATTTAGTCCGTCCGTGCTTTTGCCGGACATGATGGCTTGTTGCTGCTGCTCTGTCGAATTACGACGTCTACTGCTACCAACATTTAAAAAAGTCGGAGACGGCGGGACCATGTGGGTGTAACCGTTTCGCTGCTTACCTTGGTACTCCACTCATCTGAGGAAATATCCATGATAACAGCACTTCCAACCGTAAAACCGACTCAAAAAAAAACCGAAAAAAACCGAATAGGTGTGTTGCGCACCTTTTAACAAAATCTACTACCATAATAGATTACTCTGAGTCATAATTAATTTCCATCTTTAACAAATATGTTATACTGTTATGAATAATCAAGAGTGGTCTCCCGTTGTTCCGTTACTCTACTCTTTGAGAGAGCTATTTCTGTTTACTGGGACTATAAAAGGACACTTTACGCTAACCTTGTATTCTCAGTTGAATAAAGCTTTCTTAGAGCCTACAACTGCGTACTTTTGTCATTACACTAACTAATCTTTTCTTGAATACATCATGACAGGTGATGAAAAGTGGGTCGCATACAACAAGAAACGCAAAATGGCAGTGGACTGACGTGGACAAATCTCAACAATCGACCCCAGGAGAAGAGCTCCATAGATGAAAGCTAATGCAGTGCGTCTGGTGGAATCGTCTGATGTAGAATTCGTAAAACACCAATAGACAGTAAAATCACATTTATACGTTCAGCAGCTCTAAACTGTCAAATAAAAGTTGATGAATAAGAAAAAGGGATGTTCTCCATAACAAAGGAAGGCAGCATACTATAAGAACAACACAGGAGAAAAAATTGGAACTCGGTTGGTCTGTTCAACTCTATATTTATCTGACCTTGCAGCAACTGATTCTTACCGTTTTCGATCATTGCAAAGCGTTTTGACGCTGGAAATATTTCTCGAATGAAAATCAGATTCAACAGTTCGTCGGAAACTCGTTCACATCAAAACCTGCGGTTATTTTATTCAAAAGGTATCGAAGATCTGCCTAATAGGTGGGGACGTGTCTTTGCAAATAACGAATATACGGGATTGTCCGAAAGTCTTGTCATCCCTAAATAACGTAATTTTCGATTTAAGATGGCTGCCACGAAAATGGTGGTGTTCACATAGACCTTCTCAATATGTGACAGCGTCAATGAAAGTGAATAAACTGAATCCACTACATGTGCTTTATATTTACTTTATTACTTCTATTGTTCTCATTACATTTTTGGTTGGGGGTGACAAGACTTTCCGACCACCCTGTATTAATCGGAATAGCTGCATTTTATCTCTTGAAAGCAATTGAATAGGCAAATCAAAGTTACCTCCCTTGACCACGACTTCCTTTTGAAAAGGAAAGTTAGCAAATAAATACACCATAACTATTTTGAATTATAGTTTTTAGATTGATAATTATATATGATATTATAGACGTGATGCTTCGGTTATGTACTAGGGTCGTTCAAAAAGTTCTAAGCCCCACCCAGAAAATAAATAAATAAAAATGCCCGTTCAATGAAAATATCTTCTTTTGAAATTTTACCTCGATAATTAAATATCTGAAAATGTTATTGGTCCTGACCCGACATCCTGGCTTCAGTCATTTTCCTCTGCCGTAATGTAGCTTCTCTGTGACTTTCTATAAATACTTTCATGGTAATTGTTTCGATAATTTTTCTCTATGGTACCTAGACTTTATAAAAGTAAGCCACATTACTAGATTGGCAACAAGGTTTCATCGTTTAGTTGAATTAATTAAATGTAACCGTAAGTTCTATGCCAAGAGTTTCTTCTCTCGCATTCCTTCCTTGTGGAACTCTCTTCCAGCTTCTTGGTTTTAGGCCAACTTTGATCTTCAAAAATTGAAATGCAACGTCAATCGTTATCTACTGTCTTTTTGATTTCTCTTCTTTTGTTGTTCTCTCTCTTTAATAATGATTTCCTTTTATTCTTATTCTTCTCCTTCTTCTTCTTCATCATCATCATCATCATCATCACCGGATTCTTTTTCATTTTCTTCTTCATCGGATTCTTCTTCTTTTTCTTCTTCAACGGATTCTTCTTCATCTGTGGATTCTTCTTCTTCACATTCTTCTTCTTCATCAGAGTCTTTCTTCCGTTTCTTCTTATTCTTCTCCTTCTTCTTCTTCTTCATCATCATCATCATCATCACCGGATTCTTTTTCATTTTCTTCTTCATCGGATTCTTCTTCTTTTTCTTCTTCAACGGATTCTTCTTCATCTGTGGATTCTTCTTCTTCACATTCTTCTTCTTCATCAGAGTCTTTCTTCCGTTTCTTCTTATTCTTCTCCTTCTTCTTCTTCATCATCATCATCATCATCACCGGATTCTTTTTCATTTTCTTCTTCATCGGATTCTTCTTCTTTTTCTTCTTCAACGGATTCTTCTTCATCTCTGGATTCTTCTTCTTCTTCATTCTTCTTCTTCATCAGAGTCTTTCTTCCGTTTCTTCTTATTCTTCTCCTTCTTCTTCTTCATCATCATCATCATCATCACCGGATTCTTTTTTTTTCTTCTTCATCTTTTCTTCTTCTTCTTTTTCTTCTTCAACGGATTCTTCTTCATCTGTGGATTCTTCTTCTTCACATTCTTCTTCTTCATCAGAGTCTTTCTTCCGTTTCTTCTTATTCTTCGGATTCTTCTTCTTCGAATTCTTTTTCTTCTTCGGATTCTTCGTCTTCAGGTTTTTCTTTTAATTCGGGTTCTTCTTTTTCATCAGATTCTTCTTCTACTTCATCGGATTCTTCTTCTTTATCTTCTTCGGATTCTTCTTCTTCTGGTTCTTCTTCATCGTATCCTTCTTTTTTCATCAAATTCTTTTTCGTCGGATTCTTCTTCTTCATCGTATTCTACTTCTTCTTTGGATTCTTCTCCTATGGATTCTTCTTCTTCTTCTGGTTCTTCTTCGTCGGATACTTCTTTTTTTCATCAAATTTTTCTTTTTCTTCGGATTCTTCTTCTTCATTGGTTCCTTCTTTTTTCATCAAATTCTTCTTCTTCTTCCGGTTCTTCTTCTATGGATTCTTCGGATTAATCTTCTGGTTCTTCTTCATCGGATCCTTCTTCTTCAAATTATTCTTCTTCTTCGGATTCTTCTGCTTTATCGGATCCTTCTTCTTCTTCATCAAATTCTTCTTCTTCTTCGGATTCTTCTTCTTCATCAAATGATTCTTCTTCTTCAGATTCTTCTTCTTCATCAAATTCTTCTTCTTCGGATTCTTCTTCTTCATCGGATACTTCTTCTTCATCAAATTCTTCTTCTTCATCGGATACTTCTTCTTCTTCATCAAATTCTTCTTCTTCTTCGGATTCTTCTTCGTCTTCTTCATCGAATTCTTCTTCTTCTTCATCCGATTCTTTTTCTTTTTCATCGCGTTCTTCTTCATCGGATCTTCTTCTTCTTTTTCTTCATCAGTGGATTCTTCTTCTTTTTCATCTTCTTTATCGGATTCTTCTTCTTCTTCTTCTTCTTCTTCATCGGATTCTTCTTTGGATTCTCCTTTTTTGATTCTTCTTCAGATTCACCCTCTTCTTCGGATTTTTATTCTTCTTTGTTTTATTTGGATTCTTCGTCTTCAGATTCTCGCGGAAGTACTATGCAGTTTTAAAATTCTTTTAACAGGATATTTTTCCTTGGATTCTGATCACAAAAAAAAAGATAGATTATCAACCTGCAAGATAAATTTCTGTCATTCGCAATTAATGATTCGAACTGCAATGGATGACGGAAAATCCCGTCATCCGCATTTTGTGGGTTAAAAACTACGTTTTTCTTCCATTATGATTTCGACGTCAGAAGAGAAAATGGTTTGTGTGAAAAACAAAAGAAGTAATCGGCGATTTCATCGATCGACGGTCGGGGAAAGTGAATGATAAGCCGAACGATAAACTAAATTGCCACATGATACGGCAACAAAACAAATTATTCTCTTTATCTAATTCTTCAAAAAAAAAAATTAAAAAACTAGAAAAAAAAAAATTAAAAAAAAGTTCTTTGCCATTTTCTTTTTCTGTACTAAGTAACATTCAACCATACAAGAGATTACCTCCCTTGATATCACAAACGGATATCCGGCAGGAAATACGTTTTTTTTTAATCTTCACTAACCTCCATTTTAACTTTCTTTTTTATTTTGTTTTGAGATCTTTTTTATCTCGTTTGCCTTGTATTCTTCTACGGGAGGATTTGATTAACTGAAGTCACAAGAGCAACAAGTAGTCACCTGTTTTGCTTTATCGCTACAGAAAAGGAGAAACGGGGGGGGGGATGTAACAAACAAGAAAAAAATTCCTATTTACAGTCTTTGCTTTTTTGAGCGTACCTATTCGCTTTGTTCGTTTTCTTTCATTGTCACGTCTGCCATTAGACGTTTAAAGGCTAATTCAGAGACAAGGTCGCAAGCGAAAACGAGATAAAGAGGAGTATACATAAAAGAACAAACAATATCGTCGTTATTTATTTGACATCTACAACGAGGAAATCCTAAGAGACCTAGAAGTCCTACCATAATCACATTAAGCTATTTAGATGACACTGTGTTCATGACAGACACAGAAAGAAAACTTCAAGAACTCCTTGACAAGGTAGCAAAAAAAAGCGCTAAAAAAGAACTAACCATGAAATATATAAAAAAAAATGTATGGTCGTTATTTATTTAATCTATACAGCGAGGCAACCATAAGAGAAGTAACAGTCCTAACAAGATTTAGTAATGGCGGACATAACCCTAACAACGTAAAATTGGTGCATGACACTTTTTTTCATGGCAGACACTCGAGAAAAACTACATAAGCTCATTGACAAGGTAGGAAAAGACAGTGTGAAAAAATAAATAATCATTAACAGCACAAACACAGAATGTATAGTCGTTGTTTTGTCTTCCGTGTAGTCTTCCGTCTCGCACACGTGCGTACCCCAAGACAGCTAGATAAAAGCTTAGTGGCAATTAAAACTATGAAGACAAAGTCCTGTTCATCAGCAGGTTTACTGAAGTTCAAAGGGGTAAAAGTATAAAAAAATACAAGTATAAATAATATGTGGAAACTGTTTCTATCTATCTATCTATATATATATATATATATATATATATATATATATATATATTTAGTTTATGAAAAACTAGGTAATCCGTATGGGTAAACCTAAGGAGGATAAAATCCAGAGAGCTCAATGTAAATCCAGAGCAAACAATTTAAATAAAAACAGACCACTTTAAGGTTCCATGTAATAAATTATTTCACCACAGCCCTTTTAAAGGACTGCGGATCATCAGACGTTACTTCCAAACAAAAATGAAAAAAATATTTTTCTTTAAAATATATATATATATATATATATATATATATATATATATATATATATATATATATATATATGTATGTATGTATAAATGTAAAAAAAACAAAGAACAGTAAGATATATAATCCGGTGTTCTTATTGATATTTTTATTTTTACAAAACATGGTTATTACTGTGTAGCGAAAAAACCATATATTAAACCAGTTAATTTATAATATATATATATTTGTCTGACGATCGCAAAAGCGTGAAACCCAGGGTCACAAACTCACATCAATCCAATCAAATATTTTAGCTCTATCTCTGATATTGAGCACTTTCTAATAAGTACCGCACATATAATAGATAAATAATTATATATATATATATATATATATATATATTTATATACACACTTTTCACACACACACACACACACACACATATATATATATATATATATATATATATATATATATATATATCAGTCTGTTTATATCTATCTATCAATCTATCTATTTCACTTTGTTTGCATCCATCTATCTATCTATCTATCTATCTATCTATCTTGTGGAGATGGGGTACATATGCACGTTAATGTGTGAGAGACTTTTCACAGATGAAACACTGCTTGAAGAAGCTCAGGAAGAGACATTTCTGATCCTAGACCCGAGTTTCTCAACCAGAGAGGAATTTCAAGTTTTCCGTGGGAGGGAAATTTTTTTAATTATACTTCTTTCTAACTACAGAATATGGAGCCCATCATGAGTGACAAAAAAAGACTAAATGATGAATTTTTCTATTCAAATATGGATTCGCATCCATCAACACCAAGGAGAACAAAGCTGAACCGAGGCTCTCAATTTGTAACGGAAGTAGCAAGTTCTTTACTACAAGCATAGGGTACGTTGTGAATTCCCAAAAAGGAGGAAATATACGTGAAGTTACAGTTTGACAAGTGTACAAACAGCCGGCATGGGCAGAGATATGCAGCAGTAAAATAAACATAAAAAAAAGTGTAAAAAGTTCAACTAATAACAGTAATTTATGATTCGTTCGAGTTAGCTTCAACATTCATGAGTCTATCACACGAACCATCAAGGTCGGAAGATCATTAGGAAGGCATTCTGTGTCATAACATACGTGGTCAATGCAGGTGATTGTTGGGCAACCAGCCCGGCTTGCAGCATGTCTATGTATCCAGAACAATAGACACTCATGAGGTTTTGATTTATGCAACAGAAATGTCTTGCAAAGTATCTCCGCTTGAGGCTGTCTGATAGATCAGATTTACAGGTTACATACCTTTTATTCAAGGCGCCAGTGGTTTGTGATACGAGAGACCACTGCTCTAAAAGAAATACTTTTAAAAGGGGTACATACCGGCGATGATATCGTTGGGGGGAGAATTCAAAAGGATCAGACAAACATGAACCGCGTACAAATGCATTATTGAATCGGGGAAACCACAAGGCTAATCAGGAAGTGCTAAAAAATGTGACTAATCTGAATTTTATCTAGACTAAAAAGGCGAAGTAAAACAACATCGGTTTTCTCACAGATGAAGAATAGAATTGAAACAACAGAAACAAAAAAAAAAGATTTCTGAATTGGTACGTAATATCAGTCCTTCTATATGGCAGTGAATGTTGGACAATCTCCTCACAGATGAAGAAGAGACTTGAAGCAATAGAAACAAAGAAAACAGTACTGAACTGTTACGTAATATCAGTCCTCCTATATGGCAGTGAATACTGGACAATATCCTCACAGATGAAGAAGAGACTTGAAGCAACAAAAACAAAGAAAAGAGTACTGAACTGTTACGTAATATCAGTCCTCCTATATGGCAGTGAATGCTGGACAATCTCCTCACAGATGAAGAAGAGACTTGAAACAACAGAAACAAAGAAAAGTGTGCTGAACTGTTACGTAATATCAGTTCTCCTATAAGGCAGCGAATGCTGGAAAATCTCCTCACAGATGAAGAGAAGATTCGAAGCAACAGATGAGACGAGTAACCATTACAAAGCAGATGAGACGGATAACCATTACAAAGTAGATAAGAAGAGTAACCACTACAAAGCAAATAAGATGGGTAACCATTACGAAGTAGATAAGACGGGTAACCATTACAAATCAGATGAGACGGGTAACCATTACAAAGCGGATAAAACGGATTACCATTACAAAGCAGATGAGACGGGAAAACATTATAAAGCAGATGAGACGGGTAACCATTACAAAGCAGATGAGACGTGTAACCATTACAAAGCGGATAAGACGGATTACCATTACAAAGCAGATGAGACAGGTAACCATTACAAAGTCCATGTAGCCATTAGCAAGAAAGTTTATAAGTTTTATAAAAAGGCACCGAATAACTAGGAAAATAACATCAATATTGAAACCAAGAAAATAGCCACTAGACTAAAAACTGATGATAGGATCCAAGCATACATCACAATTAAAGATCATAAGGGAAATTTTCTAAAGTACTCCCAATATCGATTGCTTAACCCAACCAAGAATAATATTGGTAAAATCAGCAAAAACATCCTTGAAAGTGCATGCAAATACACCAAATATTTTCTAGGGATTAACCAGTTGCACAAAACAGCTGAAGCCATAGAATGGTTTACCAATATAAAATGGAAGAATGAATGTACATTCATTCAATTCGATATATGTCACTTTTATCCATCCATAACCGAGGATCTGGTAATGTCTGCTATAAATTTAGCAATAAATTACTGTCCTATTATCAATCATTAGATAAATATCATTATGCAAGCACAAAAATCTATACTTTTTCATAATGGTTATCTGTGGACCAAAAAACGTAACCCGGAATTCTGTGTTGCTATGAGAACGTATGACTCAGCGGAAGCATATGAATTAGTTGGAATTCTATTAATATGGCGACTTAGATTTCTTTTCAACATCAAGGACACCGGGCTTTATAGAATTGACGGTAACATTCTCCTCCATAAAACTAGGCCACGAAAGATAGACCGATTGAGAAAGGAATGTATGAAATGTGTAGCCACATGTAACAATTATTATGGAACTGATGTTTGCATAATAATATAATGAACTCCCTCTGTCCCATAATAGCTGATACATTTTGCGTATGAAACGTGAAGGTATAAGGAACAATTATTATGGGACTGAGATTGTATAATATAATTAACTACCTCTGTCCCATAATAGTTGATGTATTTTATGTATAAAATGTGTAGTCATAGGGAACAATTATTATGGGACTGAGGTTTGTATAATAATATAATGAACTACTACTGTGTTATAATAGTTGATACATTTTGCGTAGGAAATATGTAGGTATATGGAACAATTTTTATGGGACAGAGGTTGAATAATAATATAATGAACTACTACTGTGTTATAATAGTTGATACATTTTGCATAGGAAATATGTAGGTATATGGAACAATTTTTATGGGACAGAGGTTGAATAATAATATAATGAACTACTTCTGTCCAATAATAACTGATACATTTAGTGTATGAAATATGTAGGTATATGGAGCAATTTTTATGGGACAGAGGTTGTATAATAATATAATGAACTATTTCTGTCCAATAATAACTGATACATTTAGTGTATGAAATGTGTAGGTATATGGAACAATTTTTATAGGACAGGCGTTTATAATAATATACTGAACTCCCTCTGTCCCATAATAATTAATACATTTAGTGCATGAAACTTACTAACGTATGGAACTATTATTTTGGGACAGGGTTTGTATATTAATTGTTGAAGCTTAAATAAGCCTGGAATAATACAACACAAAATGTACGTTAACAAAATGTATTGAAACAAAGAATAGGTACACAATATTTACAGTTAGTTTGGTATATTCTTGGGAAGACTGTTCCTGCATAATGGGTTGACTAAATCGCAGTCGGGCAGAGTCTCTGGATTCAATTTCTTAATCTCTACTATCTTCCCCGTCTTCCGGTACCAACCCATATTTATATGGTCGGTAGTCCGCTTATGTAAATTAGGTGTATCATACACAACATTAATGTAATGAACTGTCTCTGTCCCATAATAGTAGATACATTTAATACATAAAATATGTAGTCATATTGAACAATTATTTTAGGACAGAGGTTTTATAATAAAATAATGGACTACCTCTATCCCAAAATAACGGATACATTTAGTGTATTAAATTCGTAGTCGGAACTGAACAATTATTATAGGAGAGACAAAAATTTGAATAAATATGGGTGTCAGTATCTGTTGTCTGTGCCCAAAAGAATCATTGATTACAAACATTGAAAGACAATTACGAGACCACATATTTTTTAACAATTCTTTTCATCAAATTCGGTTTCTTTGGTAGATGAGAGAGACATACACCAAAACACGTACACCGGCACACAGACACACACGCACAGTGATAGATAGATAGATAGATAGATAGATAGATAGATAGATAGATAGAATAAGCCAATATAGATGTATTGATATGAACAGAGAGAGAGAGACATATGAAAAGACTATGCTAGATAGATAGATAGATAGATAGATAGATACGAACAAACAGAGATAGATAGATACATAGATAGATAGATAGATAGATAGATAGATAGATAGAAACAGAGAGAGATATAAAAAAAGACTATGATCGATCGATAGATAGATAGATAGATAGATAGATAGATAGATAGAATAAACCAAGATAGATATATTCGTTTATGAAAATTTTGCAGAGAGACATATGAAAAGACTCTTTGCTTTATTTTAGATAGATAGATCATTAGATAGATACGGATAGATAGATAGATACGGACAAACATAGATAGATAGATAGATCTTTTTGATTAATGAGATTTTAGATAGATAGATATGAAAAACTAAGATCCAAATTTTTACTTTTAAAGATAGATAGATAGATAGATAGATAGATAGATAGATAGATAGATAGATAGATAGAATAAGCAAAGATAGATAGATATGAAAAGACTAAGATAGATAGAAAGAACCATCAACTCTCTTCTAAATGTTAATGAATAACTATTTTCTCCCGCCTCGTAATTAGTTAAAATAGATAAGATCTTTTGCCTAACTTTGTGAACTAAACTTCTAATTTTTTTCTCTCTTTCTCTCTCTCTCTCTCACACACACACACACATCACATTTTCCTTTTTAATATCACTTTTTCCGCCAAACCTTTGATGTTACCAAATTAAAAGTAATCACCAGTGGTCGTAGAAAAAGATAGCATTGGATATCCAGGGATCAACAAAAAATACAAAGTCCGGATATGAGGGTTATATTTAGATTAAAATAAAAGAACTGAAATCAGGTTTAACATTTATTTTCAATGTTTTATAGTAAACAAAATAAGCTAATGGTGAGTGAAATATAACTGAATTGATTTTAAGGAAAAAGAAATAAATTATGTAATGTTAATGAAAATTCATTAAATTAAGTATGCCACGTATGCAAAACAAATAATGTAACGAGGATTTTTTAATCGCTGTTGCATGATGATTCTTTCTCTTCTAATGTCATTCTCAACTTTTTTCCGCATTTCGTTTTGATTTTTTGTTCTTGAAATTTTTTAAACGAAAAGACTTTTTTTAACTCTGTGTGCGTTATTGCAATCGTCATAGCTGAATGCTGGCTTTCTTTCCATAAAACTGACAACCTTTTCAATAGCTTTTTCAATTTCAGTCCAGGTTTCATCACAATCATGCATTTTTTTATTTCCTTGTTCATTGTGACAGTTGTCAACGCTGGAGAATAATTATTTTTTTGGAAGATTTTATATCATACAATGTTGACTTTCCTATGTTGAACTCAGCCATTAGTTACAATGAACTTTCACCAGCGTCTAGTCTGTTTAAAATTTTCACTTTTACGATAACTCCAAAGTTGTTCTTTTCCTCTTATTCCCATCATCTTTTGCACCAATTCAAGCCATTTAGGGTGAAATAAGCATAAGCAATTCTCCAAAGTAAATTTCCTGAAAAACAGAAATTTCAAATCAGTTACATATCACCCAAATAGTTCAAATATACACATCAAAATCATGTCCGGATATTTGGATTCCGGATATGAGGGATTTCTGTATTATGAGACATTCCGGATATGAGGGATTCTATGGTATTCAAGAAAATATCTGGCATTCAACAACATATGTAATTTTTAGCTGACTGTTTTTTAGACCATTTCAAAATTTAACGCATGGGTGTCATGGTGGATTAAAAAAGCGCTGCAGCTCAGACCAGACACTAGGTTCGTTCTCAGGGTGCAGCTAGTTCTAGTAAATGCGTAACATATTTCAAAAAATAACCATTCATTTTTCATAAATCATATTGAAAATAAAACCATGAGACGAGATTTATTTTAGGAAAATTTTGTTCAGTTGTAATTTTATACTGTAGACGAGCGAGGCAACACAATGCGAAGGAGAGGATGAACGTTTTAACATAATCTCCTTCCTTTTCGAGTTCTACCTGTCTCCCTTTGCTAGGGACCACTAAAAGAACCCAATTTTTTGTCCTGTGTCGGCTTTCGTCTAGAAAAAAACAATCGAAAGAAAGTCTATCATATATTGATATGTTTTATCATATATATATTGACATGGATCTTCGAGGTCCCTTTGCTCAGATACCTTTCATTGTCAAGACAACAACTGTCTATACTATTTCTGTAACATCTTTCAGATGTTTCTTTTGACAATTTATCAGCTGACATCACTAAACTCTATCCTTGGACCGATGTTGTTTTTGATCTTCATCAACTCTACGTGCGTTATTGCAAGATCATAGCTGAATGCCTGCTTTCAAGAAAATAAAAAATATATATTTATATAATTGCCTAGTTCACTTCTCTGCATTTCATCCGTTACCAACTAGGTATTTAAGCGGATGATACAACATTTTACTCCTGTCTTCGTAACAAGCCCGAGAGATCCGACAAAGTAAATTTTTTGACAAATGACCTCGAAAATATCTCAAAAATCAGTGGTTAAAACAATAAAAAGAAATTTTTGTAAATTTTAACTGTCTTTTCCAAAATAAAAACTGTTTGAATTTCATCTCCAAATAACAAATTAAATTAGTATGGAAAAAACTCAAGATTTAAAAGGTCCATGTTTTCCACTGATATGAATTCTAGCGACTATATCGGATCAATAGCTGCTTCTACTGCTAAAAAAGAAAAGTTGGCTTTTATGTGAAAAGAAGAAAATGTTCTAATCAACGTTTCCATGTCAATCGTTGTCTTTGTAAATTTAATTCCTGTTTTTTTATCGTTCTCTTGCTAGTGATGTCTTTATTTAAATTTTATATTGAGTACTTTAAAGGACTTTGGGCTTTTTCGTTCATTGAAAATGAAGGCGATTACATTTTTTTTTAATAGAAGTAATATTTTTAAGAGATTTAAAATCACATTAAAAATTAAAGACACATCAACTTAGGCGTTTTTTGGACATTAGAGTTATTTATTAATAAAATTTGATTCTGTAGTGACCCAACCATTAGGTTCAAAGAATGATGGTCCAAAAACCAGGGTTTCATTCGTTCAATAAAAATTTTAATTTTTGACCTTAATTTGTTAATATTCAATTGACAGTTTAGATATTTCTGAAATATTCATGCAAGATATCCATATAAAGTATTGATCTTTTTTTGTTTAAGAATATGACTGAGTTTTTACGTTAACTGGTTGATTTTTGCAGGCATTGCAGTGTTAATTGAAACTAAAACATTTAAATGTTTGTTTTACTTTAATCATTGTAGATAAAAAAAGAATATTATTTTTTTAAAAACTAGTTGGTTGTTTGGTTTTTAAACAAAGTTATTTAAATAAAATTGCTGTTTAATTTTTATTTCAGGTTATAAAATGAATAAAATATTTTAATAAATATAAAAGAAAATAAACTGTTGAATTGTTATGTTTCTTAAAAAATAAAAAATTATTTAAAAAAAGGCCTGATAATTATGCACCAACCCAATACGTCCATTACGCGCTACTGGAACATGAAAGGACCGTCACTGTAAACGTTTATTGCCAACATTATACCTGGTCAGGTAAACGAAACAATACGTCGAAAGTTCCTTTGTAAACAAAAAGCAAGGGCACACGTTGCATATCAAATTATTTATTTAGACTCCTAGAATATTTCATAAGTGACATAACATTTAGAAATAAAGAATCTCCTGTCAAATATTTTTCGATGAAAGACCCATGTGGAATCGACAATGTGCCTTCGCTTTGGGCTTGCGGTCATTGAAAATGAAGACGATTACATTATTTTTTTTTTTTTTTTTTTTTTGGTAATATTTAAATAGATTTAAATCACATTAAAAATTACAGAGACATCGACTTAAACACGAGTACCTACCAAATATTTTTACATATTTAGATTGAACTGCTTTTGCACCTTAAGATTCGCTCTTATGAGAAAGAAGATTTTCGAAACGGTTGCTGATTGGTTGAAAAAAAATGGAAAAAAAAGAAACAGAAAAGATCGCTTTGTTCATCTAGAGCACTTATCAACGATAAATATATAATCAGCGTACTTATCACCTATACTATCTAACCCTATGCCCTGTTTACGGCAGTAGCATATTATAAACATTGGTTCACTGGAGATCACCAAAATGTTCACAAATTAATAACTACCGCAATTTTTTGTCTATAATACGCATTCGTGTATAATATAATTCGAATCTATTACATTCACTTACGTGCTAATACCCTTGGGAAAGGTATGAATCCTATTCTCCTCTCCCCAGCTATGGGTAAATAACAGGACAGACCGGGTTCTATAGCCTTGGGTGACAACTGGTCTGCCGCAGAAAGAAATGGCAACCTACTTCGGGAAAAAATCTGTCACGCCAGTCATTTATCGAAAGATACATGATCGCCTAAACGTGTATCACGCATGGGACTGGTTGACTTTCCAGTCAAATCCATTGCATTCACTAACATGCTAATACCCTGGGGAAAGATATGAATCCTCTTCTTCTCCCTCAGGCTATGGTAAATAGCAGGACAGATCGGGTTCTATAGCTTTGGATGGCAACTGGTCTACCGCAGAGAAAAAAAAAAACCTACTGCAGGAAAAAAACATGTTTTCGTCAGCCATGTATCGAAAGATACATGATCGCCTAAGTGTGTATCACGCATGGCACATAACTGACTGACTGACTTTATAGTCGAATCCATTACATTCACTTGTATAATAGGTACACGTGTATAATCTGCTCTCTTGTAAAATCCGAACTCGTGTATAAAATGCATCTGCCTGTTGTATAATCCGCACCCTTAATTTTTGACTGCGAAACTGTGGGAAGAAAGTTATCTTATATAATGCGTATTAATTTTATTGAAAATGAAACAGAGAAATATAAACCGAATTTAAAATTTATTCAAATATTTACGAAATTCTAAAAATATCCCACTAAATTTAGAAAATATCTTTAGAGCTGAAAATGTCTAGTCAAGTTCATCTTATCGAATTTCATAAATTCATCTACTTTTCCTACTTACATATGAATTTTACTTTTAGACTCAATCTTCACCAATATGAACATAAGTATTTATGAATAACTTGTATAATTCGCACTGAATATAAATGAAATGTATCCAATTTTTTTTCTTATTGACTAAAAATAAGAATTTTTATCATGTTTCGTTTCCACTTCGTTTTCGTTTTTCTTAAGGACACAGAATCAGAAAGAGCCAGCTGAAATTTCTTCGATAGAGGAAGAAAGGCTTGGAAAATCAGACACTCACAGGGCAGATTGACAGAGGGAAACATAGCATAGCCTACTTAGTGAGCTTTATTAGATGGAGGCGGAACATTGTTTGGGAGAAATAACAAAAAGACAAAATTTATTAAAAGCTACAAAGGGAGAGAAAGTGAAGAACCATGGTCGACTACATCCTCAGGGGACATGGCATATAAAGAAGGAGTAGCAGGCCTGGCAGACGGGTATCCTCGAAAA